TATTGTTATGCACACTGTACACGAGCCATTTTTTATTAGTTTCTGGTAAAGGTTTTATCAAGTTTCTGTTTTTCTAGATTGCTAAGTGTATTGTAAGAAGGCTATTTTTATTGCTCTAATACATAAGTGTGGTCAGGTAATAATTTATCACTATAATATTATGTGAATATTGTGGAAAAGATCTATAATTTTTATGTGGTTACATTTAAGAAGAGAAGACTTTATATAAAGCATTTCTCTTACACGGGCTACACAAATTTTGCTGAATATACATAATTTTTATATAAAATAATTGTTCTTTAAGGGTGCAACTCTTACAAGATCAATTAGAAGATTAAAGAATTTTTAAGACTAATGAAATTAATTTATCCCCTTCTTTAAAAGAAAATCTTATTTATTTAAAAACAATCAGAAAATGTAATATGATACCATGAAAAATATAAAATTATCCATACATCTACATTCAAGGGTATTCAACCTTAACCTTGTGTTTATACTTATCAAATTGTTTCATTTATCTACATGTATGTATTTTTAAATAAAATTAAAGTCATACTTCACATACCATTTTAATCTATTTGTTTATCTCAGTGATTAATGTATTAATATATTTTACTCAATAACAGCATTTCCATGATGCCATTTTACATATTATAAGGTTCCATTTTAGGAATTTAATTTAGTCACTGAAATTTCAGTGTTGTGATCTCAAGATTATTTATAGTTTTCTACTATCACAAATAATTTTACACTAAGTATCTTTGCCTCCTTAATAATTTTCTTAAGATTATTACTTAAAATGGAATTGTTGAATGTTAAAAATGAATACTGCTATGTATCAGATATTCTTCTGAGTGGTACATCTATCATCTCCAAGGAGAGTTTATTCTTGTATCTGTATATTAAGTGTGAGGTGTCTAAAGCATATTGAGCTTAACTAATTTAATCAAAATTGCACAGCTATTTATTAAGTGGCCCCAGTCTGTCTTTAACAACACACCAGAGAGGACATATACTTCTTGGTAAATTGTTAATATTGCTGAATTGATCAATCACACAAGGATGGTAGTATTTAATTAGCAATGGATGGATGCTATATTTACACAATTACACATCATCAATTCTTTAAGATTTCCTAAAATATAGTCAGCTATTATGTTGATATGGTTGTACATAATCAGCAAGGAGTAAGCTTGACTGGTTGGTATCCTATCATATTTAAGTTCACAAGATTTTAGCATTCCCTTCAACAGACCTGAAGACCAAATTTTGGATTATAATTTTCTTGATATGACTGAACGATTCATTTTCTGTTGGATTGAGTGGACTGGTATCATCAAAACAATTTTTCTCCTAATCTATTCTTATAATTTCACACACTCTTAGCCTGAAGATGTGTACAAGTGTATCACATTGAGTGCCTCCACCTGTCTAATCTCCTCAATTACTTATCTAAAGTGAAAGGAATGCCCCAAAGAGGTGTGCTGTAATGAGCTTGCTTCATTAACCTTGAATTTCTGGCATAATTCATTTTTGGAAGGAAGCATATCAGTCTAACTTCATATGACTTGTAATCAATACTAGAGACTCCTGTGTAGCACAAATACCAAGAAGCCAAGGCAAAATGGGATTGATAGTAATTTAAACCCTTGAGTCATCTATTTAGGGAACATCCAAAAATAGGCTTAACCACTAGTCTGTTTTGATGTGAAATCAGTCTAGAATTCAAATAGCCAGTCATTTCATACTGGTATTAACATATCAGAGTGTTTGATGCCAGTAGTATTTAAAAATTCCATATGTGAGCCGGCGCCGTGGCTCAATAGGCTAATCCTCCACCTTGCGGCGCCGGCACACCGGGTTCTAGTCCCGGTTGGGGCGCCGGATTCTGTCCCGGTTGCCCCTCTTCCAGGCCAGCTCTCTGCTATGGCCAGGGAGTACAGTGGAGGATGGCCCAGGTGCTTGGGCCCTGCACCCCATGGGAGACCAGGAAAAGCACCTGGCTCCTGGCTCCTGCCAGGATCAGCGCGGTGCGCCGGCTGCAGCGGCGGCCATTGGAGGGTGAACCAGCGGCAAAGGAAGACCTTTCTCTCTCTCTGTCTCTCTCTCACTGTCCACTCTGCCTGTCAAAATAAAAAAAGAAAATTTCCATATGTGAAAGTCTTCTGCCATTAATATGAGAAGTTATAAATATATATATGCATGTATATGTATGTATACATTTACATATATGTACCTGTCTGGAAAGAATAAAAGTAAAACTGTAGTTTTAGGGGAAAAATGACACTGGTTAGGTTTTTAGTAAAAATAATTATGAAACCAAACCAACACTTCTAAGTAAGTACATATGCATTTAAAGTAGGTGGCAATACCTTAACTGTATGTGTGTTGTAAGGCCCAAGGGCCTCTTTCATCCTTGTCGAGGCGAGTGCTAACCATCTCTCCTTTAATACAACACAGTACATAGGCATTTGAAGCATCACATCTGTATTCTTTTAAAAGTAGATCCTATCTCTTCTTAGCACATCATTCAGTTCTAGTCTGTGGATAATTCTGTCTTGGGTAGCTCAGATTAACATACCATTTAAGGACTGTAATGTTATAGAAAGATAATTCCAACTTCCAAAGTTATCAACTAACTGTTCCATTAAAACTTTTGAAAATTTCAGTTTATATCATGCTTACTACTGTTTTGGTGTTGTTGTTGAACAACCAGATTATTTATTTAGTCTTTATCTCCTAAATAAAATTGAGAGAAACAGAAGTGGATCATTTTGTATTTTCTTTTCCTGTAGAACAAGTAAGCACCAAACAAACAAGGCATTAGGTGGTAATTATTCAAAAAAGCAAAAATTAATACCAGTAATATGGCAACAATATTATTTTATGTTTGTAATTTGTCAACTTAAAATTATAAATGTGGGTTTAAATAGTGCAGAATGTCATTTGATTGTTTCACTCAGAAATTGTGAAAATTTCTTTGTTGGTCAATTTACATGCTAAACCATAATCTCAAAATACTCTTTACTTTTAGGTAAATAAATTATAGTGAGTTGCATAGGTACTTATTTTAAACTGAATGAGTGCTGTGTTCAGTCTTTCAATCTCTTTGTGGGAACAAGTCAAACCAGAGTGAACTTGATCTGTTTAGCCTGTTGCTTGTCTGCTCAGACCAACAAGTGGGCAGATCCACTTTTTCCTCAGTTATTCCATGTTGGCTTCCAGCAGCCAACAATTGTCCCCTCCCTTGAGTATTGCCCTCAGCTAAGGGATACTGCTTAGCAGAAGTCAAGGGAATTATGCTCCCCGTCTACCTGACAGGAGGCAGCCTGTGACCAATGACTTACTGCTAAGGATGACAAAGTGCCTTGGCCCCTAGCTTGAGGTGGACCTGTTGAGTAACACCATTTCCAAACCAGGATTCCCTGTGATATGAGACTGAGGCCAGCCTTCACCTGGATCCACATCTGTGCCCATTGCAACAGGTGTCATCCAAGATCATATCTTCAAATCACTTGCACAAAAATCCATCTCCAAGACTCTTCTTACAATGAAACTTATCTAAGGCAATCTTCAATTCTTCCTGGGGGGAAAAAATCAGTGTGTACTGGTATAGAAATTACCTAGTTTTATTGAAAAGTTGAGGAAGTTCCAGATGATTGTAACTTTTCACATTCATTTACAAAGATAATTTTTAAAAATGAGTTCAGGGCATTGGTTTATTTTTTAGTTCTAGTCTACATTTAAAATCCATGCCATGGCCAATGGAAAGTAAAAATGAAATTACTTTCATAATATTTGTATAAAAGATGCATATTTATCTATAAAACAAGGCTGATTCTCTACCCACCTGAGGGTAAGAGAATTTAAGATTTTGGATATGATCACCAAGCTTCTGTAGAACTTATATAATTCAGGAGCAAAAATTAACAATGAGTATGAAGAAAACCCAAATTGGACCATAAGCACGCAGGGTTGCCTCCGTGTTTTTCTCTGTTTAAATGATATTGACGGTTGTCCTTATTGAAGAGGAAATAAGTATGTGCTTGGAGCCTCACAGACAGCCATTCATCATTCTCCCATGCAAAGGATAGAATGCTCGTGCCAGCACACAGAATCCAATGGCAGCTACAGTAGCAGAAAATCAATAGACTGTATTAGAAAACTCAGAGGCTAATCAGAGCCCAATCTGCAGGCATGATGTACGCCAAAAGAAGCATTGCTTTAGAACATAACTCAATTCTCTGAACACCACAGACTGCAGCTTAATTCAAGCATTTGGGGGAAAATGAGGGTCTTTACAATACACATTTTGCTCTTTATTGCCTCCCAGAGAAGCTTCAGCACAATACTGTAATGAATAATGATAACATACATTCTTAAAAACTGATGTTAGCTCAGCCATTATGCCCAAATAGAATGAGTGCCCCTGCTGTGATGCAATGAGATGTCATTAGGAAGCATCTTCTCTGCTAAAAGGAGGATGAATATTGTTACTTGTTAAACACACTATTAATACCCGTAAAGGTAAATGACGATTGTCCTTTTACTTTCATTGACAATTGATCCTGCTGACACATCGTTAGTTCATCATAAACTCTAAGTGAAGTTATACATCCAAGTCAAAGTTCATTGTGTGACACATTTTAAGGAAGTTGAATTTGACAGTCTGTAATAAAAATGCATTTAGGTTAAATTGTTCAAAAGTTCTAGACTGAACAATGCCTGAATATTTTACACGGTAGTAATTCCCTGCCCTCTTTGGAAACTTTGGAAAAGTTATCCTGCAATTTTTAAAATTTTCTGTAAGATAAACAGAACATATATTTTATTCAACTATTTGCTTTTGCCATGTGGAATATAGAATTTAGGAAAGAATGTGTCATAATTATAGGTTCTTAATATCATAGCCACCTTTTCTTCTATTCTTATACATTCTTAACATTTTGAGGTTATCAACAAGTCTTCAAGCACAAGTTAGCTACTTTGGTAAGTTTATCATATCTCCACATGATTCTGAATTGCATGTAACAAACTCACGTCAGTATTAAAGGGACACTTGTGTTTTTAATAAATCTCTGATTTTATCTTAGTAAGGTTAATAACTTGAATTAAATGCTGCACAAATATATGCACTTATTGTAATAGATGGAATGTCAAGGTCAATTTGATTCTAATAATCCTAGCAAAATGAAAGTAACATCATGAAAAAGAAGCCATGCTTGGAAACAAAAGCTAATTAAGATTTTTTTAATGCCCCAGAGAGAGAAGTGTACAGAGAATAGTCACAGTTGGTTTAAGATTGGCAACTCTGTTGGATGTGACAGCACATTCAGCTCATCCCACACAGACACAGTCCAGCATCTGGGATGATAATTATTAGACTTCAGAACACTTCTTGGAAATATTCCATGTATTAGGCTGCTTACAAAAGCAGGCTCTCTAGAATTACCATAGTAATACAAGTATATTACTAAATGCTTTATCAATATTTATTTATCACTTTACTTCTGTGTTACAGCTATTTCATCAAGCCAAAAGAGTACTAAAGATTTAAAGAAATGATGCTTATAAAAAGTAAATATTTTGTTTTCCTTTTAAGAATAAATCACATAATTTGCAATGCCAAAATTTGAAACCCTGAATACACTATTTCTTTGAGATAATATTGGTGAATAAGATCTCACAAATAGAATAAGCACATGAGTCTAATTTTAGAATAAACTTTTAAAATAGTTTATTTATTTTTTATTTATTTGACAGGTAGAGTTATAGACAGTGAGAGAGAAGGACAGAGAGAAAAGCCTTCCTTCCATTGGTTTACCCCCCAAATGGCCGCCACAATCAGGGCTGCGCTGATCCGAAGCCAGGAGCCAGGTGCTTCTTGCTGGTCTCCCATGCGGGTGCAGGGCCCAAGCACTTGGGCCATCCTCCACTGCACTCCCGGGCCACAGCAGAGAGCTGGCCTGGAAGAAGAGCAACTGGGACTAGAACCCGGCATCCACATAGGATCCGGAGGATTAACCAAGTGAGTCACGGCGCCAGCTCTAGTTTATTCTTTTTAATCATTTAGAAATTGTGAGATATCACACCTTTAAAGGTTTCTTAAAAAATTTTCAGACATATTTTTATTTTCAAAGTGACCAAGAAAAGACATATTTGCAGCTTCAATGGTATAGTTTTCTGTGTTAGGATTTGGCTTTACACTCAAAATGGTTGATTGTGTATTCTTTGCTGTCTGAGAGAGAATGTAATTTACCTAAAGAGGCAGCGGAACAGGTAAGTGTGTTCATCTGCTGAATGGCAAGAACAATATAGCATCTCTTAGGATTCCTACAAATAATAAATGACGTGATTTATATAATCACATTAGACTGTGCTTCATACTATACTGTGAGTACTGCCATTATCTTATTTCTAGTATTACCAAGATGCCTATTGCTAATAATGAGAAAATATGACATAATGAAGCTATGAAGATAAACATATTTGGGTCTTAATATTGACTCAGCAACTAAGAAGTCATGTAATAATGGAGATGTGTATTCATGCTTTAGAACCCCAGCTCAGGACTGTATAATAAAGGTGGAACTCATAGCAAACAAGTCGGATTTCTGTTAAAAACATATATTTAAAAATCCTGATCCATATAAATTTCTTATTAAACAATATCTTTTGATAAAAAGGAAATGCTCAGGGAATGGTTTTCCAAAAGTCCTTTGTACATTCTTTTATGTATCATAATACCACATAAGGTATTACTTTTAGATTCCACACCTGATATACATCCTAGAAGATGAGTTTATAGTTTAGATATTAACTTTAGGGTAGTTACTTTATAAGCAAATGTATAGATTCTTAAAACATATACATAAAGCTTGAAGGAATTTAAAGTTATAAAATTAAAGGTTATCAATTCCTACTCACACAGGACTTCCTGTTGATTGGCTCTTATTGTGTACTATTAGTTCAGTTCTAGTCTTGTCACAGTCACTGAGTTGAAATCTTTTTGTAAACAGTCACATTTGATTTCTACCTCAAAATGACCTCTTCCTTTAGTTGTACGTTTTTCTGTACTCTAATTCTACATTCCAACTGACATTAAGATATTTCCATCTAGATGTCCACCAGCCATACCAAAGCAAGACTATCTACAGCTAGAACCTTGGAACTGAAGTAAAAATCAAGAAAATGTAAAGATTATTTAACTTGTAAAATTTTTAAGATATTTTATTGACTATAACAATTTAGTAGAAAATGTCTGACAAAGTAGAACATGGTTTTGTGAACATATTTATATACTACAATATAAAGATATTTTCTCTAATCTTGTTCCAGTTCTATTCCCTCAGTTCACAAAAATTCCATGCACTATAATCTTAAGCAACAGGACAGCCCTTTATTATGATATGCAAAGTATCCCTGTGTTTTATGTTCTAGAAATTGTCAAATATTATCAATATGTGATTTGAAGATCATTTAGTTACAAGTAAGAAAAGCCAAGATTAAGCATAACAGAAAAGTTGCTGGTTTACATAACCAGGAAGTCTACGGCTTGAAGCAATGCTGGACTCATGAAATTGATAATGTCAAGAATATGTTTCTCTCATGCTCAAACTCTCTATCCATATGGCTGATACAAAGGCTGCTGGCAAAACCAGACTCACATCCTCACAGCTTGTCAGTGCCAATGTGAACGTGACATTCTATTGCAAGAGAAAAATGTCATTGGAAGCATTGCATTTGGTTTAATTTTGTCACAAATATTTGTTGACTAAATGAATCCTTTTCCTTCCTTGTACCACTTTAGCCAAAGGTTCATAACCTGTGATTTGTCAAGCCTGCAGAGTGGGCACAAAACCATGAGTGAGGAATGGTAGGATGATTTCCATTTGAAGACAAGGAACACATTCCAGAAAATGTATGGTTCTGCTGGGAGCAGAAATTAAAAGGAAGAATGGATATTGAATGCTACAAAACAATATATATCAAAACTAGGAGATTTCCTAGGACATGATGATAACTTTCATGTTCATGTTTCCCCTCAGTATCAAGGATCCATACAGTGGGGCCAGCATTGTGGCAGAGGGTTGCTGCAGATTGGCAAATTGCAGCATAGTAGGTTAAGCCAGGACTGCAGACATTCGCTTCCCAAATTGGAGTATTAGTTTGAGTTTCAGCTGCTCCACTTTCCATCCTGCTCCCTACTAATGTGCCAGGAAAGGCAGTGCAAATAAATAAATAGAAAATCAAATAAATAAATAAAGAGAAAAAAATTTAAAAACACAATGCACATAGTGAAATTCAAAATTCATATGAAGTCATATGCCAAATAGAATTGGCTCCGGATAGGAGTCATAAATATATAAAATCTTTGATTTGTCATTCTAGAAAATGTAATAATAGTATGAATAATCTATCATGTAACCAGTCATTTCTCAGAGTGTTCCCAAAGTGTACACACCTGGGAATTATTGTCTTGTTCATTCAAAAATTATATTGATTTTATGGTTATTTTAGCATACAATTCTAAATCCATTCTTTATGATTTAACTATTGATAAACCTGAACTATTTGACATGAATATTTTTCCACAGTCTGAATATGACTGACTTTATATGCATACTGCAGTGTAAAATTTCTTCTTACCATTGACCTGTAATTTTGTTAAATTGGCAGGTAAACATGAGGCACAATCTGATTCAGTTTTATTCCTTTGACAAAGTTATAAAAGGTATTATGGCATTTTATCAAATATAGATAATGTTTAGTTTTCTTTCAATTTTATTTGTATTCAATACCTAAATGTATTTACTCATTGGGACTGCTACATGGTGATATTCTGTCCCATCATCTTTTTTTGATTGGTTAGTTGATACACTTCCACAATTACATATTCCCTCAACTGTTATTTGGTTATTTAGTGGTACAGTAATTAAAGATCAATCAAGATCAATACATTATTTTACTGTGTTTACCAGTAAAAATAATAAACGTGTTGCTTATTGTGGTAGCTTTTATGTTAACTTAGTGGGTTATAATACATAGTTACTCAATCAGAGGTTTTTGTGTGTGTGTGATTACTGTGAAGGTATATAGTACATGTGGTTATAGTTCATACTGAATGACAAAAGGCGATCATTTGAACTTCTTTGAAAATAGGTGGGGGCTTCTCTGAAGAAGAAAATCTGCCCATGGAAAGCATCTTCAGCTCATGCCCAGGAGTTCCAGCCTGTAATTCCTAATAAGCAACCATATGGATTTTACACTGGTCTAGGCCACCTGTTAACAATTGTATAAACTACCTTCTAGCAATTAATATCTTATTGCAGGGGCTGATGCCATGGCTTAGTAGGTAAAGCTGCTACCTGTGGTGCCAGCATCCCATGTGGGCACCAGTTTGAGTCCTGGCTGCTCCACTTCTGATCCAGCTCTCTGCTATGGCCTGGGAAAGCAATAGAAGATGGCACAAGTCCTTGGGCCCCTGCACCGCATGGGAGACCCAGAAGAGGCTCCTGGCTTCGGATCAGCACAGCTCTGGCCATTGCGGCCATTTGGGGAGTGAACCATTGGATGGAAGACATGTCTCTCTCTCTCTCTCTCTCTCTCTCTCTCTCTCCCTGCCTCTCCTCTGTGTAACTCTGACTTTCAAATAAATAAATTAATAAAATCTTATTGCATATCTTCCATTGGTATGTTCCTGTTGTTGAATCCTAATAGATAGATGTTGGTACCAGAAGTGTTTATAGAGGAAGAACATACTAAGGATTCATTTCTAAATGTCTTCTAGATTTTGCTGATTTGCTTCTCTAATGTGATTAGTTTGTGGGGCACTGACTCAAGGTTTAGTGATAAATAGGGCACTGACAATCCATGGCATGATGTGGCACCAGAAACATCACCTTTTTGTACTCCTAATCCAATAAATATAAGAAAGACGTCTCTAGTCAACAATGTATTTTAAACTTCAGAGTAGTCAAATTGAAAAGTTTAGAGACATCAGATAACTGTCTCTAAACGTATAGCAGAAATTGAGGAAAGGGAAGCAGAAGGCCAGACCTTCAAATTCCTGACTCAACTTGAGCATAAATGACCTGAACACTTCTCTGTCTGCCTTGACAGAAAATTATCTGCTGTACCACAAGTTTGAGATTTCTGAAACTCAAACTGAAGGTCTTATCTCCTGCCTTCTGGGATTTCAATGCAAATTGCTCTGTTAAGGTGGGGGTATTTATTCCGGAGGAATGGATCCAGAAAATTCACTTGGTAATCTGTGAGTAGCAACGGATGAAGTAGGGGACAGAAAACTCCTCACTGCTGCTGATTCTTCTTTTTCCAAAACAAGTGACCCTTCTAGTACAGCTGGTTGAAATTAACCCTGCATTGCCTGAGGATTGTTCTTCCTGGAGCAATGATTTTGTTCAAGGACTATCCCATCACTCTTTGTTTCTCATGAAGTTCCCAAGGGAAATGTAAAACATATGAACCATGGAAAAGTATCCTACAGACCAAAAAAAAAAAAAAAAAAAAGCTTTGGAAATAGAAAAGTTAATTGTAAAATGTATGTGAACCCTAAAAGACTTTGATTTTCCAAAGCAATTTTGAAAAATAAGAACAGGGTCCCACATTATGGTGTAATGGGTAAAGCTGCCACCTGTGATGCTAGCATCCCATATGGTCACAGAATGGAGTCCCAGTTGCTCCACTTCTGATCCAGCTTCCTGCTAATGTGTCTGGGAAAGCAGTGGATAAATAACCCAAGTCCTTGGGCCCCTGCACCCATGTGAGAGACCTAGAAGAAGCTCCTGACTCCTGTCTCTGGTCTGCCTCAGCTATGGCTGTTGCAGCAATTTGGGGAATGAGCCAGTGGATAGAAGATCTTTCTTCTCTCTCTCTCTCTCTCCCTCTCTCTCTCTCTCTCCCTCTCTCTTTTTACTTCTCCCTTTCAAATAAATAAGTAAATCTTTAAATAAAATAAAAATGAGAATAAGGTTGAGGAACTTACAATTCAAGACTTTAATATTTACTGTAAAATACTATAAAATATAGCACTTAAAAATACAAATGGAGCAGCAAGCATTTGGCACAAGCAGTTAAAATGTCACTTGGGAAGTCCACATCCCACACTGGGTTCAAGTTCCAGCTCTACTTTTGACTCCAGGTTCCTGCTAATGCACATCTTGCATAGTAGATAGTGGCTTAAGTAGTTGGGTCTCTACCACCCATGTGGGAGAGTCAGCTTCAATTCCAGGCTCCTTGCTTTAAACTGGCCCAGCCTTGGCTATTGTAAACATGTGGAGAGTAAACAAGCAGGTGGAAGATGTCTCTCTCTCCCTGCCTTTCTAGTGGACAAAAATGAATGTTAATAAATAAATAAGTAAATTGAATAACAGGGAAGAATAGAGTCAAGGAATTAAGACCCCCTTATCTAGTCAGCTGATTTTATTATAGATACCAAAGCAATTTAAAGGGGAATATGAGTTCATCTCAACAAATACTTCCATGCATAATTGTAAGGAAAATGGATCTACTACTCTATCTCACAATTACAAAAAAAATCAAGATGAATTATATACCTAAAAATAAAAACTAATTTTACAGAGAATTTTTAAGGGAAACATAAGTTTCTGGTATAAATTATATTTTAGATAAATCAAATAAAATAATGGCAGTTACAATGTTTTAAAAATATAATAAATCAAACTGTACCAAAAATAAAATACTATCACTTATCATCAAAAAACATTATTAACAAAATGAAATGGAATCCATAGATGAAAAGAAATATTTATAAAACTTACATATGTTTCCAAGATATAAAAAGGATTCCTAGAACAAAATATTTAAAAGAGAAAAAATGCCATTCAACATTGACAAATAGCTTCAGCAACACTTCCCAAAAGCTATACAAATGGCCAATATGCATGACAAAAGTACTCCATGTTATCAGCAACTGGCTGAATGCAAATTAAATCACTTTGAAATATTAATGCATATTCACTAGGGGGACAGTAATTAAAGAAATGAGAATGCCAAGTTTGGCAAAGATGTAGAAGAACCAGAACCCTGACATATTGTTGGTCAATGTGCAAAATGCTACAGTCATTTTGAGAAAAGGCCTAATACATTCTTATAAGATGAAATTTAGACATAGAGGCATAGCGAGTAAAGCTGTCATCTGCGACACTAGCATCCCATATGGGCACTGGTTCTTGTTCTGGCCACTCCACTTCATCTAGCTCCCTGCTAATGGCCTGGAAAAAACAGGAAGATGGTCCAAGTGCTTGGGCCCCTGCCACCCGTCACATGGGAAACCTGAACAGAATTCCTGACTCCTGGCTTCAGACTGGCCCAGCCCTAGCTGCTTATCCTTTTGGGGAGTGACCTGTGGATGGAAGATTCTCTCTCTCTCTCTTTCTCTGTAACTCTTTCAAGAAAGTAAATAAATGTTAAAAAATGTACATGTACCCTACAAATAGCATGTAAAGCAGTTATTTAATTGGGAGGCAGAATGAGAGAAGGACTAGGAGAGATACACAGAGAGAGAGTGCTCCCATATGCTGGTCATTCCCAAAATGTCTACAGTGATTGAGACTGGGCCAGGGCCAGAGCTAGGAGCTAGAACTGCAATTCAGTTCTCCCACAATGGAGGCAGGTACACAATTGAGCCATCATTTCCTCAGTGGATTTGCATTGGCAGGACACTCTAGTCAGGAGAAAGAGCCAGGAATAAAACCCAGGCATTCTAATGTGAGATATAGTTGTCTTAAACACTAGACTAAATTACTGCTCCAATGAACAGTATTTTTAATCCTAGTTATTTATTCAAGCTAAATGAAAACATGTTCCACAAGAAGATTTGTTATACTAAATAACATTTCATTCTTTTCTAATTTTCTATTGCTAATGTTGTATGTAATTCAAAATAGCTAAAAACCAGAAAAATCTGAATTGTCATTCAAAAGGTGAATGGAAAAACCAATTGCGGAATATTCATTCAAAGGAATCTAATTGAGGAATTCAACAAAGGTGTAATGTCGCAAAAAAAGAAAACATATGCAGATATATATTGTTTAACTTCATTATAAGAAGCTTTTAGGAAAGGAAAATTTAAGCTATTGCAGGAAAATCAGTTCAAGTATTTCAACAAAGGAAAACAGGTAAGTTTATGAAGCATACTGGCAATAGAAAGATTAACAGGAAAAAAAGAAATATTTGTTAGCGTGCAGAAGTGTGGGGGCTTTACACAAAGTTTGAGATTCAAAGAAAGAACAAAATGATAGACCCTGAGGTGGGTCTTTGGCACAGCGTTGAAGCCACCACCCCGGATTCCTACATCCCATATAGGAATTTCTGAGTTTGATTTCCAGGTCTGCCTCTCATTCCAGCTTCCTGCTAATAGTTACCTGTTGAGGCACCAGGTGATGACTCAAGTGGCTGACTCCCTGAGCCCAGACTCCTGGCTTAGGACTTTTCTGCCTGCTATGGTCATTTGGTGACCTGGGTGGGGCCGGGGAGGGGGCAATAAGCCAATGATTGTGTGATTTCATGAAATATTAAAAAATCTAATGCAGAGAAGGTGGACTCCGATACAAAAGTCTTCACCTGCACCTATTTACTTTGCTAAAGTAGATATAAATTTTTAACAAAAGGACAACTTTTCAGAGACATTTATGTATCTGCAGAGATTGTAAGTTTCTCTGGAGAACCAAGTTGATGCACATGAAAAAAAGCATATTGGTGAGAGGGCATTTTACTTTCATAGACATTTCACTAGATTTCTGATATATAGTTAGTACACAAAGGACACAAAGAATATTTGTTCAATCAGTAAACAATTTCATATTCCTTTACTGGTAGGTTAATTCTCTACTAAATATATACTATATATATATGATATATAGTATCATATATACTGTATATATGATACTCCCTGGTGTAATGGTTTATTTAATAAATACCTAACACTTGTAATTCTGTTCAAAAATATATATTTTGCACAAATTAGCACTGGATGTTTAAGCATAACATCCTGGTCTTCATTTGAAGAAATTAGAACTCATACTAAATAATTGAATTGTCATTATAACCTACAGTACTTTGAAACTAGTCAGCAACATAATAGAAATGAGAGGGAAAAAGAAAAACCTGACATTGATAACAAAAAGCCCAGTCCTCCATCAGGGCTGATGGGAAAAAGGGAAGAGGTGATATTAACTCTTGGATTTCAGGATGCCTGCTTGAACATAAAAGAGAATCCATCCAGTGGAGCCACCCAGACAGCTTCATAACAAAGACTGGGACTACTGAGTGAAGAACTGCCCAAGGGACATGGAACCATGAAGCAGCAGCAACTGTGGCACCATGCCAATACTATACTTGGAGCTAAGAGATAGGAGAAGAAATACCAAGACCCACCTGCTTTCAAACCATTTTCCTCCTGTCAGTGCTTCTGATTGGGTAATTTCAAAGAAGCTTGAAAGTGTAATCTGTAAGCATGAACTTTCTACAAAGCAAAGGACAGAGAACAGATAGGAATGGTTTTGAAAGGAGACCAGAAGGTTCTCCTAACACAACCCATTAGATTATTTCATATCTGTATTAAAAAGGTAAGAAATGCATAATCACATCATCTGATAA